CTTATGACCTTACTTTCCACCATTCAATGTTCCAATATCGTTTCCATTTTCAAAGGTTGTCGAAAAATTTATTCGGATATTGATATCAAGGGAATAGGCTTGCCTTGGATAGAAAATGTTCGTTACATGACTAATCAAGTACGCTCATATGCTGCTCACATTCTGGTCGATAATTTCGAACAACTTTGCGAGGATCAAGAATTTCTGGATTGTGTGGATGGTGTAGGTTTCAGTTCAGATATTTTAGAGGACATTATGACTATAGTGGTGGAAGAGGGTTTGACTGAACAAAATTCTGCTCGTGTACTCAAATCTATCACTGGGAAGCTGTTAACGAGACCGGCAATTATGGATGTGGAGTTCATCGAGACAAAAAGAGTGTTGCTACAAGCAAAACAAAATATTTTCAACTATATAAAAAAGCGTTGGATGGGTGTAAAACAGTCTGGTGGATTTAGACTATTAAGTCCCATGCTTTTGGATGAATTCGAAAAAGGTAAGTATTTTTTATTAGATTATTCGAATCTTAATTATATTCGCTTAACCATATCTTGTATTTCAAGAATTGGGGATTGATCGTAATGAACTACAAGAACCTTGTGGTCAAAATCAGAATCAGAAAAAAGTAAAGACGCCAATTTCAACAAACGGACTTTCGAAGAAAGGAGTGGTGCCACCTATAGTTAAAAGTGCGCCAACAGTTACTGCGACTCCAGTGATTGTAACAACACCGCCACAACCAACATCAGGGCCGGCTACCTCTTCTACGGAAGTAACGGCGAACTCGAATGGAACTACGGGAACTGTATCGACAGTGACGCCATCATCTTCGGCATCTTCATCTTCACAATCAACTTCAGCCGGATCATCGTCAAAAACTGCTCGGACTACTGAAAAGAAAGGCAAAAGCGTACGTATCGGTGGAGCTACCACTGCTCCGGTGTGGGACCGTCCGACTCGTGCCAGTGTTCTACGTCAAAAAGCATTGGCCGAATCCTCGGCAAAAAACCCGGTGAAAGCACGTACGAAGACAGCTTCTACTTCAAAGTCTTCTTCTGGGTCTTCATCTAGTTTATCGACACCGAAAGCCCCAAAAACAACCACTAACAATAAAACTACAAAGACGGTACGGCCATCACCATCCAATGCGAGTCTTCGAGTTCCTACGAATGGTGCGGACTCGCCAAGAGGCCGCTCATCCAATAAGCAGACTCCTACCTCATCTCGTCCAAGTTCAATTTCTTCGACCAAATCTGGGGCTTCTCCATCTGTATCTCCATCACGCTTTAACGGTGTAAAACAAACTCGCGCCAGTATGCTGCGGCAACTCAGATATGACGATGCACAACAAAGGCGTGGCCGTGATCGTGAACGTGATATTTCACCAAAATCATCACGAGCTAGTTCCATCGCCTCGGCTTCATCCAACAATAGCCACACGACCACATCATCTCATCACAGACGAAAGCGGTCTCCTTCAATAAATTCAAC